GACTTTTGGACCCCGGCGGGAGGGGCCGGGGGGGGGGGGACACCAGCTCTTGCTCCCCCGGCTTATCCTCATGACCGACAGCCTCTTTGCAGTGCTCCCGGCACGGCCCCGGCACGGTGCCTCCACGCAGACAACGGCTGCTCCTCTGCAGTTTGCACCCCACCCCCATGAAGCCCGGCTGGGTTTGGCGATCTCCTGGGGTGGGGGGGTGCTCACAACAACTGGGGCACCATTTGGGGCCTGAGACTTCCCTGCAAGCTGTTCCCAGGGTCTGGGGGGCAGCTGTGGGGACAGCTACACGAGGCCCCGTGGTGAAGGAGATGGTGCCGTTGCAGCGCTGGAGTGATGAGAGGTCAGCTAAAGTAGGGCAGGGTGTGGGCGCGGGAGCTGAAAGGAGGCTGGTTTCCAAGTGTAAGAGATCTGGCCCCGTTTAGTGCAGCATCCGGTTCCTCTCCACTGCTTTAGTAGCAGAATTAATTTTTCTTTTCAGAAAAGAAGTGGGCCAGAATTTATTGCGTGCCAGCAGGGCACAGCTCCTTTGCTGGCAGAGACCCAGGGCAACTTGGAAAGGGCCTGGCCACAGGACAGCTGCCGCAGTCCGGTTCTCACCTGGACGGGAGGTCTCCCGAGAGATGCACGTGCGCCGCACAGTGCTTAGAGTTCCATGGCGGAAGATGGGTGAGATGTTGGAGTAATTAACAGCCTCCTCCAAGGAAGGCCTGAGTATTGCCTTGATGCCTGTGTCACCTACCAGCAGTGGCCAAACCGCCAAACGTGGATGAAGCCCAGGCACAAGGACCCGGACCGCATCAAAGCATTCGCTCTCCGTCATTCGTCCCCAGGAAGTGGGACCTTAGAGGAAGGAGTTCCCCCCTTGTCTCTGCTGTCCCTCCTCCCTGAGAAAACATCCCTTGTGGGGCAGTAAGCAAGAGTGCCTGTCATGCCTTCCACTGTTTCTCAAGCAGTGAGAGGTCGAAGGGCAACGCTTTGGACGAGAGAGCACGAGAGACTCCACTGTGCCCTGGTCATGCCTGCTTTATTGCAAATGTGCCTGCAGCTCACACAGGAAGCAAGCAAGCAAGCGGGCGTCTCTGAGAAAGCAGCACAGCCACTGTTCCTGCCTCTGGCCTGCAGCCGCCGCCGCCGCCAGAGGTGCTCCCCCCCCCCCCCCCGGGGGTCCCCCCCCCCCCCCCGTCGCGTCACCGCTGGCTGTCTTCTCACAGGGCGAATGGGCTCAGGTTTGCTTCTTTGCCCCTAAGCTCCCAGGATTCTGCAGCCACCCAGGATGGCTTGCTAACCTTTTTCAGTCCCAGGTACCAGCCAGCCTGCTTTGGGTATCAGCAAGCGGCCAGCATTCCGAAATGCTCGTCTCTTCAGTGACTGGTCGCGAGAGAGAGGCCATTATTCTCAGGAGTCAGCCTGGCTGTGCAAAAGGGCGTGGGGTGGAAAGCCAGAGCCTGCTTGCAGAGAGCCGCGCCAGCCGTTATAAGCCTCTCTCCCTCCGCCCTGCTCGGCCTCTCCTCTCGGATCCACTACACGGGCGCCACAGGGCAGGTGCTGCTGGTGCCCCACGAGGCAGAGGCTTTGCTGCAGGGGGAGAGGATCTCCGTCTCCTGCGGCTCCCGCTCCACAAACAGGGAGTTCTTGTACGGCAGGTAAGGAAAGCCCTCACCTGTGGCCTCCAGGCCTTCAGGGAGGAGAGGGGCTCTTCCGGGCGGGATCGGGGCCTGTCCTTCCCCTTGCATGACAGCGGGGTTGCTGGCTTGGGCCTGCTGCTCTGGAGCACCGAGCAAGGGGCGGTGGGCTCTCTCCTCCTCCGACGGCAGCTCCGCTTCTGAGAGGCGCTTGAAGGAGGAGAGCCGGGAGATGGCCTCCAGGGGCCTGGGGGTCACCAGGCTAGGCCCAGCGCCCTTGCCAGGATCAGTGCTGCTGCCGCCGCCGCCGCCTCTCAGCCAGACGTCCTGCTCTCTGAGGCCGATCCAAGCCTGAAACGGACCAGAAGCCAGTCAGGGAGGCGTGGCTGCCGCACACCCGCTCACTCTGACCACTGCGCCCCCCTCTCCTCCCTCTGGGCAGATTCACGGGTGGCCGGTGGTGGGGGTGCCCCTTCCTCTCCCTCCTAGCTGGTATGCCTAGAGGCGGACGTTGCCACGGCAACCCCACCAGCTTCCTTCTGGGTCCGGGAGGGGGGGGGCCCCTGCAGCCTGGACCCACCGATGCCCGGCTCCCCTCCTTTCGCTTTCAGGGCCGCAGGAGAAGGCAGGAAGTCTCCAAGGAGAGGGTGGGGAACGGGAGGCAGAGCCGGGACCCCTGAGGTCAACAAAATATTTTTTTGTGTGTGTGGGGGGGGTCATTGTCTTCTTCACCTGCTAATTCTCCTTTCCCCATCTGGGATGGGAGGGAGGAGACGGATGAGGGTGCAGTGGGAGTGGGAGTGGGGGCGGGAGGGTAGGAGAGGAGGGGAGGCGGGGGGGGCGGAGAAGGCCTTGAGGAGAGGGAGGGCAGGCTGCGGCCACAGGGAGGGGGGGCCACACCTGGGCGGGTGGGCAGCCGGGAGGGGCCCTCGGGACTCTGCCCCCC